AGTACAAGCAAGGAAACAGCAAATACTAGTGGCGCACGGACCAACGACGACACTACGCAAGCCGCTCGTGCATCTTGTGATTGATTACTGCAAGATTCAATGTAAAAAATGAAATTCAACGCAATGTGGCAAAGCTGAGAAATCAGCTCCTAAAGCGTATATGAACATCAGTTGGCAGTAAAGAGACGACAATATTTGTCCTAATTCACCATGTAGACGCTGGAAAGTGGGTGGACAAAACTCGCACTGTCAGCATCTGTTTATCCGAGAACGACCAACAAATTTGTGGAGGCCATACACTGCATTGACTCGCACACAAGTCCATATGTCGAATAAGATGTTGCAGACAATAATAGCAAGGAAAGGTGGAATGGGCGGCGGCTAATCCGAACCGCGGTAGATAACGATGGCTTAGCGGTAGTAACGACAAAGCAATATTTATTTTAAGGCATTTTTAAAGTTTTAGCTGTATTACGCATTTGCTGCACATCATACAACGAGCTGGGGAACCAGCGTTGGAAATTTGCGAAAATGTCTCTTAGAGTTCCCAAAGGACCTATCTGTACTCAAAAGAAAACAAAGGCGGTGAGGGCCATAAAAAACAGTCAGTACAGTCGGCCTCGCACTGCTGAGAATGACCGAGTTATTCTTTCAGCTGTCAATCTTCTCAGCTAAGACTTCTAACGTATCAGCAGTTATGGGCTCGCGTACGCTGCGCTGCCTCATTAACGCATACAGAGTCAGTGTGGGCCAGTTTCGGGGAGTTAAAGTGTCGCCCAACCTGCACATACACATTTCTATGTCGCACATGCATCTATGCCAAAACATGCCAACGCATCACCCCTCTTGCAGCAAGTGGTCAATCCCCACTACCAGCAACAAAACATTGAGCAAAACTACTAAGAGGCACAGCTCACTTTGATAAGAGGTGTGTCCTTAAGTGTAGCCCTGTACATAAATGGGAGACTCGTTCGTGTGTGGTTTCTGCAGACGACCTGCTTGGCGCCGTAAGTCAGTACATAAAATTCAATTAGCAGCCAGACAGGTTCAGACAAGTGGCTGGTGCACGGATTAGTAAGTATGGCGACAGCAAGGAATCGGTTCCGGAAGCAAATCAACGTACGCCTAGCTATATAACGCCCTTGAACCTATCACTACGCGCCACCAGTCCTGCCTTCGAAGGCTAACAAGTGACGGGATAACCGAACACTTATGACAAGGTTGCATTTGCTTCCTATTTTGAACTTTTTGACGTTCTTATCTATTTGAAGGTGGGAGAAGAGAGTGTTAAGTGCTGCGAAAGTTGTCGCATTTCAAGGGGCACGCGGTGAACGTCGTCACCTGCGACTGGTGGCTACGCCATAAATTCTGCCTAGATTCGAAAAGATGGTTGTTTTGTTATGGTTTGAGACCGCCTACTACAATCCTATATCGCAGCTACGACCGTGTGCGTTTGCCATGCTTGAATCAACTTACGCCGGTGAAAAAAAGAACTGTTTGGAAGGGCTAGCTGAAAAAGTTGGCCAAGTATCTGTAATAACCTAAGCTTCAACGCACAACCATCGAATAAAAATAATCAGCAT